ACGACGCACAACGGTTCGTACGAACTTGCGCTCACCCCATATTGCAGATTTTGAAGTTTCTTGTCTTCATGCTCATTAGCGTCTTTTCCTGCCGAACATCTACGTAAAGCTTAAGTTTATCGTTAATAGGCTGAGGCTTTATCCAACTGAGTGATTAAATAGTTAATCACCTTTATTAATATAATTTTGTTTTAATGGTCGCGAACTTGATGTAAATTCTATATATTGAATAAAGGGCAAGCCTATTGTGATGGGCCAATATGATAATTTTTGGTATAAAGACAGCGGTATCCAGCGGACAACGGCATTATAAGTATATCTCGTTAAGCCATCCACCGTTTCAAGAAATTCTTTTGATTTGGGTACACTTTGATTAGCAACGTGCGGTTGAGGGTGGCTTCTGAGTGTTGTCGTTGTTGCGTGTTGACGTTATCCTGGTTTTTGCCTGTTTTGATGTTCTCGTCGGTGGATAAATAATATACACAAAATGAAAATATGAAGAAAAATGAAAATATTAATAAAAATATGAAGAATAATTCTATGGAGATGGAGAAAACCAAAGCCCCTTCCCAAAAATGCTGTGTGTAAACAGAAAATTAATGGACTTAGGGAATTGACAACAATTCCAACAGTTGGTCTTTCAAATATTGCATTAAAAATTCGTGCAAATTCGCGAAAAGGGAGAGGGGATAACAATTATACTCAACGTCAACAAATTTCAAATACTCATGATTGTGATCGACTCTGCCGGTTTGCCTTCGACCTCATCCAATATATATATTCTCTCTCGATGTTACAAAACTCGTGGTTCTTTCGATGATGCGACCTCCGGCGAGCTTTCCCAAGATATTCTTGCAATCAACACTGTCTTATCTGCCGAATGCAGGGAAGAAGAGTCGCTAAGAGCATCTAAGATTTAACCTCAGTTGGAACATAGCATGGTGAAAATGGAACAAGAACTGTTCCCTGAGTATGTGGATATAATATTTGTTTAAAAGCATCGAGCTCACACGTAGGCTTATTCTTTTGTTTGGAAGTGGCGACTTGATTCCATTTACTACGGTGGATAACCACAACTTCCGAGACCATTCCGCAGCTTGTTCGTTCTAATAGGGCCTTAAGTCCCGGTCGTTTAAAATTGATGCCCGAGCCGATATCACTAAGAAGCTCGTGGGCTGGAAAAGGAGAAGCTGCTTTTGTCGTTCAAGATCTTCTTTTGCTTAGCACTGGAGACGCAAGCGTAGAGGAAACCTTTTTGGTGATCAGCATTTTGAGAAGTTAGCTCGGGAAAGCGTGAAGAGATATCGTAAAGACGAGTTCCTGATGGAGATGTCTTGGCAGCGATCTTTCCTTGGCTGGTGTACATGGAAAGGAGAAAGGGAAGTAAGACCTTGTGAACCTGATATTCGTATGTTACTAAGCAACTTATTAGAATTTTATCTCACGTGGTCACGGAAAATTGACGCTAAAAGTTGTTTTGGATTAGGATTAGCGTTAGAGCTGAGGATAAGGGTACGTATATGTAAAATTGCTTTTCCGACATTTTTATTAGCGTTAGTAAGACCACGTGATTCAGCACTGTCCCAAAAAACGGGAAGTCTACGGACAGTGCTCAGGGACAGTGCTGAATCACGTGGATTTCGACACAAGAAAAAGCAATGTTACATATAACCTTACGGGAAGTCTACGGACAGTGCATAGG